GCCAATATTGCTCTCCTAGTGGACATTGGCAATCTTTGGAGTAATTTTGGGTTGTCACTGCTGAGGTGGGGTGCTACTGGCATCTAGTGTTTAGAGGACAAGGATTATGCTAAACAGCCTACAATGCAAAAGAAAGTCGTCTTCGTGTCTCCCCGCCCCCCGGAATGTCAGCAAAAAATGTCAATAGTGTGGAAGCTGAGAAACCTGCTGGAGACTGAACCCTGTGCCTGGTCCTCACTGATCCCCAACCCTGGCCCAGGCTGAGTCCTGATCTTCACCTGGACTGACTCCACTCCTGACTGAATCCTCCTCTGACATTTCCCTTCACGAAAGAACATGGCTGGGATGGGATAAGTGGCTTCTGCCCCCTGCCAGGGCCAACTCCCCTCCAGCCCTTCCTTCTCAGGCCTCCTCTGAGAAGTGAGGAGGGGAGATGGGTCCTGTGAGTTAGGTCTTGCTGTGGCCAGGAGGCTGGGGATGGGGAGGAGAAGAATGATCTTCTCACAGCCAGTGATTGGCTGAGCCAGGATATGCACTCAGGCCAGGCTGAGCCCTGGGCCCCGGGATCTTAACACTGGGCCAAGCTGGTGCTGCAGGGGTGGGGGTGGCAGGAGGGTTATTCTTCAAAGGCAGGCCAGTGGGCTGGGGGCATGTGCAGGCTCAGGTGAGGCCTGAGGAAGCAGCAGAAGCCAATGATGTATCTTACCTGGGAGGGGTGGCCCCCTGAGGCAGCATGGGGGACTGCCAGCTTGATGGTTGGTCAGCTGTCCTTGCCCATCTCAGTCCAGTGCTGAGAAAGGACTTGGAGAAGAAACATGAAAAATAAGCTGGTCAAGGAAGCCAGGAGCCCGGGGTGGGGTGAGCAAAAGGGCCTGGGTCTGGCCCTGGCTCTTTGCAAAAGCTGTCTTGGCCAAAGACTTTGCTGCTCTGAGCCTCATTTTCATCATCTGTCAAGTGGGCGTGATGGGAACACCTACCTCCTCCCAGGGTCACTGAGAAGTGAAGAAGGAGATGGTGTAGGTGGTGTGCACAGGGCATGGCTGGTACACAACATATGAGTCCCTTTCCCCTCTCCTGTCAGGACACAGAGGAGAATCCAGAACGTGTACAGTGCATGAGACAACTGCTGCAGGGAGGCAGGGCTCTGGCATTATCACAGAGCAAGTAGCCCGAAAACTAGCTTTAGATTCCTTTGAGATGCACAGATGAACTCACAGGAAATGAAGAGGGTGAGCTGGAAAGGAGATAAGGATGGTCTGTAACCACTTCTATCAACCTTGTATTGGAGGTGCGGCCAGTGCAATAAGGCGAGTAAAAGAAAAAAAAAATATAAAATTTAGAAAGTAAAAAATAAAGCTGTCATTATTCACAGATGACAGGAAATCCAAAAGACTCTACGGATAAGCTATTACAATTAATACATAGATTTTAAAGGTCAGAATATAAAATCAACTGTTATTATTGTATATTAGCAACAAATAATTAGAAAACAAAATTTGAAAAACAATTTCACTTATGATAGCATTAAAACACTGCAGATATGCAGGAATACATTTAATGATACAAGACCTTTACCTGTTAAAGTACACAGTATTCTTGGGAGAAATTCAATAAGACAAAAATAAATGGAGGTTATAATATACTATGTTTATCTATTGGAAGACTCAGTATGTAAAGATGTTCATTCTCCACAAATCAATGTACAAATTCAATGCATTTCCAATCAAAAAATGAAAAGTAAGCTGAAAACCAACAAGATGAGTGTAAGCTGATGCTGATGCTTCCTTATTGGGGTGGCAACATGAATGGGGGTGTTTGCTGGTCTGGTAACCAAGGGTCTGGGTTTTAATAGTTTAGGGGAACAGAAAAGGATGCTCTGTACCTTCCCTAGTTGGAACTGACACACCAACATAAAGCTAGGACTTTAAAAAAGATACACCTTTAGTGAAAGGAGAGACTTGGAAAATAGCTACCCATCTACCAGGGAGATAAAACAAAAGTTTCTCTGTCTCGGCTGGACCCCAGGTGGACTCCTTTGAGAAGTTGTGATTTGAGGTTTGCCCCTTGTTTCTGTTGAAAGTTATAATGAACACTTCTCCCATGGTTCTAGAATCTTGGAGACAACAACTTAACGTAAACATTGATGTCCGGGTAATATTGCCTTGGCAAGCACCCAGGGGAAGGAATTATAGATTCTCTCTGGAACTTGAAGGGACCTGCCCTTAACCAGGCTGAAATAAAATTCCCACAGATAAAGCTCCAGTAAAGATGAGTTCATAATCCAACAATTACCAGACACATGAGGAAACAATCCACCATGAGGGAGTTTCATCAGACAGCAGAAATACCTCTCAAGGGTTTGAGATAATAGAAAAATAGAATACTAGATGAATATTGGAAAAGATATAAAATTATTAGAAGCACATAAGCAACAATAGAAAAGGAAAGAACAAATTATGAAAGGAAAACAAGGAGATAAGCAAAAGAACCAAACAGAACATTCAAAAACCAAAAATGTACTTATTAAAATTAAAAATTCACTGGAATTAGGAAAATTTGAATATGGAGTGGGTATTAAATTAATAATTAAGGAACTATTTTAATTTGGTAAAGTGTGATATGGTATTTTTGCTATATAGGAAATATGTTCCTTTTTCAAAAATATGTTTTTATTGATTTCAGAGAGAGGAAAGGAGAGAGAGAGAGAGAGACAGAAACATCAATGATGAGAGAGAGTCATTGATCCTCTGCCTCCTGCATGCCCGCTACTGGGGATCGAGCCCGAAACCCAGGTTTGTGCCCTGACTGGGAATTGAACCCTGACCTGGTTCATAGGTCAACACTAAACCACTGAGCCATGCCAGCCGGGCTGTGTTCTTATTTTTTAATGCATACTGGAATATTTAAAAGTATAATTTCATTAGGTTTAGGTTTTGTTTTAAAATATTTCAGCATAGATAAAAATAAATGGAATAAACATGACAAAGTGTTAGTAATTATTAAAGCTAGGCCTTGGGTAAATACGATTTATTTTACTAGTGGTTCTCAAACTTTAGTGTGACACTGAGACACCTAGTGGACTTTTCAAAACATAAATTATTACATCCGACAAAGGACTCGTATCCAGAATACATAAAAATTCAATAACAAGAAAATAACCCAATTTAAACATGGCAAAAGCTTTACACAAACACTTCACCAAAGAAGATATACGGGATGGCAAATAGGGAAAGTATTCATCATTAGTCATTAGGCAAATGTGAATTAAAACCACAGTAAGATATTTCTACACATCTATTAGAATGACTAAAATAAAAAAAAAAATCCTCACTGACATTGCCAAGTGCTGGTGAGAAGCAACTGGAAACCTCTCACGTTGTCGGTGGGCGTGCAAAATAGTGCAGCCACTTTGAAAAACAGTTTGGCAGTTTCTTACAAATTTAACCTCATTCTTACCATATGACCCAGAATCCCATTCATGGGTATTTACCCAAGTGGAATGGAAACTTATGTTAAAAAACACACAACCCGTATGCAAACATTTCTTATGGCTTTGTTTAAAATTACCCCAAACTGGAAACCACAGAAATGTCTTTCAACAGATGAATGGTTAAATAAATCACTCAGCAATGAAAAGAAACAAACTACTGACACACTCAACATCATGGATGGGTCTCAAAAGATTGTACTAAATGAAAGAAACTAGACTCAAAAGCCTACGTATCATATGATTGCATTTATATGACTTCTAGGGAAGACAAAATTATATAGACGGAACACATCAGGGCTTGTGGGACTGAGGGTGGGGGATGGACTAGCTACAAAGGGGGAGCAAGGGAGAATTGGGGGGGCAGTGGAAATGTTCTAAAACTTGATTGTAGGACTCATTTCCCAAAACCCATAGAAATACACACCAGAAAGAATTAACTTTAATGTATATAAATTTTTAAAAGTGGAAAAAAATGTTAGGTTAATGTACTAACACACACACATACACACACACACACAAATTACTAGACTTTACCCCCAAAGTTTTCGATTTACTAGGTCCTAGGTGGGGCCCAAGAATTTACATTTCTGACAAGTTCCCAGGTGATGCTAGTGCCGTCTGCCTGGGGACCACACTGAGAACCTCTGCCTTATACAATTCTAATACTTTACTAGTGTTTGAAATGTATGAAAAATTTCATAATAAGTTTAAAAAACCTAAGTGATAGTTTCCATTGCGAATTAGACATCCCGAAAAGAGACAGGAAATATGACAGGTGGGTGATGGGTCATGGGGGATAAGGTGGAATGTTCCAAAGTACATCTATTAAGCATTTCAAAAGACAGTGGTGAAGGAAACAATACTTGAAGAAAGAATGGGAGAGCGTTTTCTAGAATTACAAGTTAGCGGAGACAGACTTACTTTGGGCTGCCTAGAATGTCAGAATATGACTCTCACAGTGTAAAGTGCAATCCGCATGAAGAAACATTAATCAGGTCCACTCCAGACTGAGTTCACTCATGATCAGCACTGTCTCACATGTGCTGTGACAACCACCTGCATGTGAGAGAGCTCCCTGTCCCAGCAGGTGTGCAAGCACAGCCTCAGGCTGTGGAGTCAGCAGACCCTGGTTCTAATCCACTTTGCATAACTCCCCAGCATTGTCCCTCTCTGGGCCTCTCTGGGCTTCCTTATGGGTACAGTGGAATAATATTACCCATAATAATATCACCCATGGGGCTGTGCAGATGGTTAAACGCCGAACAGCTGTGAAGTTTCCAGTTTATGGTGAGTGTTCCAAAGAAAATTATTCAGTCCCAAGAGCAGAAATGGAGACTCCCTTGGGAGGAGAAGCCACAAGGATCCCCCAGCAAAGATACAGTGGAGCTGGTGGCAGGAAGAAACCCCTCTTACAGGCCACATCCATGAAGTGGAGATTCCCAAAGCAGAAAGGTTTGCCTGAATGAAAATGGAAATGGAACTCAGGGCTTTTTCTCTCTCTTGCCTGCAGACGATGGGCCTTACTCCAAAGGAGGCAAGGACTCAGGAGGAGCCGATGTGGCCCTGGCTTGCCGCAGACAGAGCATTCCAGGTAATGGAGACCCTCTGCTTCCTCTTTCTTTGTTCTGGAGGCACAGAGAGCTCTGGGTGGGGGTCAGACAGCATTGGCTCTGCTGCTAACTTGCTCCGTGACCTTAGACCAACCATGTAACCTCTCTGATCCTCTGTAAAAAGGAAATATCTCACCCAGCATAGTGCATCCGAGTGCCCTGCTTACCAAGTGTTAGCCTCACTTGTCTTGGAGCTGGGAGCCCCAAATTACCCCATGCTGCCCCCTCACTCCCCATATGTCAGCAGAGGAGTTCCGAGGGGTCACCGTGGTGGAGCTGATCAAGAAAGAAGGCAGCACGCTGGGCCTGACCATCTCAGGTGGCACCGACAAGGATGGGAAGCCCAGGGTCTCCAACCTGAGACCTGGGGGGCTCGCGGCCAGGTGAGAAGGGGACTTGGTGGGGGCAGCAGGAAGGGGCTAGGGACCAGTGGAAAACATACTAGGGCTTTGGGTAAAGCAATCAGGTAGTTGTTTCCAGAAGCACCCAAGACCTTGGTGCCTGCTGGAGGAAGCCCTCCAGTGGGGGCTATAATTCTAGGCCTCAGCTTCTTTCTCCCTTTACATCAGGGGCTGATGTGGCCACAGTGCCCCATCTTGCCAGGCCCTCCAGGCCTTTGCCTATTCAGTTCCCTCTGTCTGGATGTCCCACTCCCCACGACATCCTCCTGGTAGACTCCTGTCTGTCCCTCCACATTGCCTCTGGGAAGCCCCCTAACCCCAGGATGGGACAGCCGCTCTGCTCCCGTGCCCTGTGTGCCACTTCTGCACACACTGCCATGCATGTTCCCATTGTTTTACCTCTGTGGCTCCCTTGGACCATGAGTTCCAGGAAGCCTGAGAGTCAGCCTCTCCACTGCTGCCTCTCGGGGCCTGCACGGAGCAGGCACTGGGAAGTGTCCAGTTGAACAGAACAGATCCGTGGTGAAAAGCCAGTAAGAGTGTTAAGTAGCTGGCTCATCTGGGGCTGCTTAGAGCCCTGAGGGTGACACCCAGTAGGAGGGAAAGCAGGCAGACCAGCACCAGGGGAAATGCCAGGCCTGGGTGTCAGACAGGTCTAGGTTAGAACCCATGCTCTCCTGTTCACCCACTCGGTGACCCTGCACGTTGCCTGACCTCTCTGAGCCTAAATTCCCCATCTGCAAAATGAGGATCCGGAGGACAGAAGGACTCAATGGGAGGGTGAGTGTGAGTGCTGACACCTGTCACCATGCATGTGCTCCCGCCTCCTTGCTCCCAGGAGTGACCTGCTGAACGTGGGCGACTACATTCGGTCAGTGAATGGGATCCACCTGACCAGGCTCCGCCATGATGAGATCATCACCCTGCTCAAGAACGTGGGCGAGCGCGTGGTGCTGGAGGTGGAGTATGAGCTGCCCCCGCCTGGTGGGTCCCTTGGACAGGGAACTTGCTCCACTGCCTCGGTTGGGGGTGGACACAGCTGCCTCCCTGCCAGGGCCCGGGTGGTGGGGATCGTGCCAGATGGGGTAGGTGGGACCTGGAGACTGGCCACAAACATCCATACCTCACCTAGGGGCTTTGCCTACGACCGCAGTAGCTGTCACCAGGAGGCGCAGGGCCCTGTTTATAACTCACTTTCATTTTGCGTATTTAGTTTACAGATTTTTTTTTTTCCTTTAAGGGGGCAAGTTTGTGGAACAGTGGCTGAATAAATTGTCCCCTGCCCTACCGCTCTCCCCACCCTACCATCCTGCACTGAGTACAGTGGCCTAGCTTTGAAATTTCAGAGTTGGTCTGAAGTCTTGAAATTGGGTAACTGTCTGGAATTCAACACTGGCCTGAACCCACCAGCCATGGATTCAAGCCTGAGTTCTGTCATCGTCTCTGTGTGAGCGTGGGCAGGCCCTTTCCTCTCCCCAAGTGATGGACTAAGTGGGTATTAGGAAAAGGTTCCCTCGAGGCCTCACTTGTCCTGCCCATTAAATGGGGAGGAATTTACCCTCCCTGTAATCTCTGTGGCTGGTCACCCAACTCTCCTGGAGTGAGCTTTGGGGGCATCTGCCAGATCAGTGATGTGACTGAGAAACTCAAAGGGGTCCTCCATTTTTCTCTAGCCCCTGAGAACAACCCAGGGATCATTTCAAAGACAGTGGATGTCTCCCTCTACAAGGAGGGCAATAGCTTTGGCTTTGTCCTCAGAGGTCAGTGTAAGAGTTGCCCTTGGGCCAGGGGGTGGGAAAGTGGCTAATTCTAATTCTGTGTATGTTCTGTTTTGCTTTAATGCATCTATGTATAAATCTGATATATATGTCTTGCTTCTGACTTTAAAGAACCCAAGACCATTAAGTCAGGTGTTAAATGGAAAATTTTGCCAAGCAGTGAAGCGTGTGTGGTTGAGGGGTTTGTGAGGGAAAAGCTGTACCAGAAAATGATGGTGAAAGCTGCCGTTGAGATTGAGAACAAAGTTGGGAGCTGTCTAACAATCAGAGCAAAACAGGAAATAGGATGAGATCAGAGGGAGGGAAGCAAGCCATTTAGCAGGGAGAGGACTTCGGTCATGTTCCCTACTTTTTGCTTCAGCTCTGGCTGGCGGGAGGTGGGATTTACAGTTGGTATCTCATAAGAGGGTCTGTGAATAGCAAAGACAAGGTCCTCAAACAGATTTAATGAAAGGGTCCCACTTAAGGGCTGAATCAGGGCCTCCGGGTATCAGGGAAGACGTGAATAGATGATTTTCTGCCTTTTGCTAAACTCTGTCCAGGAGGTGCCCATGAAGACAGTCACAAGTGTCGCCCACTTGTCCTGACCTATGTGCGGCCTGGGGGCCCTGCTGACAGGTGAGCCTGACCCAGGGGAAAGCTTACAGCCTCGCACTGCGCTGACCAACCCCAGCTCCTTGTGAAGGAGGCAGAGTAGGGACCTTTGTGCCCATTTTCCAGATGAGCACTTCGAGGTCCAGAGAGGGGACACCCTTTGCCCATAGTCACTCAGGGGGTTGTTGGTGGAGCCAGGACTAAACCCCAAAAGAGAGAGACCCCAAGCTCTTTCTTTCCCAACATTCTGTTGTCTTAGGGGGCCATGGGAGAGCTAGCCTTGGTATCACATTGCTATTCCCTTCCCTGGCCTTAGTTTTCCCCTCTGTGGAAAGGGTCCAATATTATAGCCCCAAAGAGTTAATGTAAGAGATTTGGGGGCACGGTGATCGGCATCGCTGTGGCCCACTGTAATTCAGCTACTCCCCCCCTCGTCCTGACTGCTCTTCCCACCCCGGGCCCTGCCTAGACATGCCAGGAGGAGGGAATGTGGAGGAGGAACGCGTCCAGTTCCCAGCCCCTGGCATTCCCAGTGGGAGATTCCTGGCCATTTTAAGAGAAGCCTGAAGGGCCTTGTCAGAAGTCTAAATCTGTCCTGGAACGGGGCCCTGGGACATGCTATTCATAGAACCTCCCAGAATTGCTTTGGCCACCTGTTGGGGCCAGCATTCCAGGGCGGGGATTTGACCCAAACTGAGGTGAACCCCAGCTTGGGCCCCACCCTGGGGCCCCTGATGAATTGGTTCCCAGGCCCATTTGTCACCAGGACCGAATCACTGCTGAGAAACCAGGGTGGGGACGGTGGGAGGGAATCTCTGTGACGGGCAGCATGAAGCATCCAGACCACCCCACCACTGATGCTGTGTGGCCCTGGCAGGGCTGCTGCCCTCTCTGGACCCTGATGCTCTCTCCTGTCCCTGGGGCAGGAGGGAGGTGGTAACCTCGAGGGCCATCCCCAGCTCAGACATTCCAGGGTTGAGCTAGGACTGAATTTCTTAAGCACCAAGTCAGGTGGGAGATCAGAGCTGACCCGACTCCTATCTTCACCCGCCTACTTCACGCACATTGTAGTCACTCGTTCTTTCACTCACTCGTGCAGCCTTCACTCACCTGTCCCGTCCCTTTCTCCTTCACCCACTCCCGGCCCCTCCTCTGTCCTCTGTGCCCACCTTGCCCAATGCCCTCTTGGCAGGGCTGTGCCCAGTGCTCGCGCAGGGCCAGGCTGGCTGACCAGGCCCTTCCCTGCAGGGAGGGCTCTTTGAAGGTGGGTGACAGGCTGCTCAGCGTTGATGGGATCCCGCTGCATGGGGCCAGCCACGCTGCCGCCCTGGCCACTCTACAGCAGTGCAGCCACGAGGCCCTCTTCCAGGTGGAGTACGACGTGGCCATTCCAGGTGAGCGGGGCACCTGAGGGCTAGCACTGGGCAAGAAGAGGCCCAAGGGTGGGGGGAGGAGACAGTGGGCACAGATCCTCACCACTGCAAAGGCTGTGTGACCTTTGGGCAGTCACTTAGCCTCTCTGAGCTTATCTGGGCAGTAAATTGTATGTCCCAGGCACTGTTTGACGCACTAGGGGTTCTGCTGAGGACAGTACAGATGAGGTCTCTGTCCTCACAGATGAGGTCTCTGTTCTCACGGAGCTGATGTTCTGGTGGGAAGAGATGGGCAGTAAGCAGAATAAATGAAATATAGAGGGGGTCAGATGGTAGTAAGTGCTGTAAAAAAATTAGGGAGAGAGATGAGAAAGGCTGGGGGTGCCCTCTAATTTGCATCCATCAAGTGTGAGAAAGGCCATGGTGGCTGGACCAGGCTGGTGGCTGAGGAGGGAGGAGCACAGTAGGGGTTGGACACAGGAAATGTGATGGAGATCGAGCTGGCCCGTTTTGCTGATGTGTGGATGTGATGGTGGGGTCCAGAGCAGAAAGAGCTAGGTTTTGTTTCTGAGCCACTGGGACGGTCAGTGGGGGTGCCATTTTCTGAGGTGGGGAGGGGTTGCAGTGGACACTACAGTTCAGAGCTGACATGCAGCAGGCTCTCAATAAATGTGAGCAAAGTATATTGTCCAGCAAAGCCCTGTGGTCAGAGCCCCTCAGACCTGAATCCCTGCCCCTCCTCTGCTGCACAGTGGCTCTGTGAACTTGGACAAAGACAGCCTTTACCTCCACACATCTCAGTTTTCTAGTCTGTAAAATGGGTGCAGTGAGCCCTCCCTGGCATTGAGGATTAAATTGAGACAGCGGAGTGAGTCTGAGGACGAAAGTGCTCAATATTTGCATTTCAAACTTTTTTTCCATCCATGTGCCAGATACTGTGGCCAATGCTTCGGGGCCCTTGATAGTGGAAATAACCAAGACGCCGGGGTCAGCCCTGGGGATCTCGCTCACCACCGGCTCCCACCGGAACAAGCCAGTCATCACCATCGACCGCATCAAGCCTGCCAGCGTGGTGGACAGGTGAGGCACATGCTGGGCCACCGCCACAGTGAAGGGGTTAGGCAGGGGTAGGCCACCCAGAGTTCTGTCTGGCCAGACAAGCCTCCCTCTTCACCCTCCACCTGGCCAGGAGTGGAGCACTGCATGCTGGAGACCACATCCTGTCCATTGACGGCACCAGCACGGAACACTGCTCGCTGCTTGAGGCCACCAAGCTCCTGGCCAATGTGTCAGAGAAAGTGCAACTGGAGATCCTGCCTGCACCCCAAAATCGGCGACCCCTAAGGCCCTCTGAGGCAGGTGGGTCCCCTTGGAGGACCTCAGAGCACATCATATGTATTAACTCATTCTGATCTTCTCCATTATCCTAGGAGGGGCCACTATCTTAGACCCATTGTACAGATAATGACAATGAGGCACAGAGGGGCTAAGTGACTTGTTCAAGTGACCTGGCAGCTGGCTCCAGAGTCAGCCAAGCCCCAGGGGACGGTGGGGACGCTGCTCAGGAAGGCAGAATCAATGAGCTGAGATAGTTGGGTCCTCAGCCCTCCTTCCACGGATACGTTGTGCCAGGCTGGACCCGTCAAAGCCCAGCAGCAGAAGGAAGAGCCAGGACAGGACCTGGGGCAGTCTGGGAGGAAGTGTTACATGGCAGCTAGTTTGGATGATCAGGTGGGGCAGGTGAGGAGGCAGGATCTCTGGGGCCCCCTGGGAAGCAGGTGTTTAGATGGGAGTGCAGCCTTGGGGGTGGAGGGGGTGACGGGTTCAGACTTGAGGGCTGACACCTGCACCTCTCTCTCCTCTTCCTCCGTTGGCCACAGTGAAGGTGCAGAGAAGTGAGCAACCATATCGCTGGGACCCCTGTGTGCCCTCCTGCCACAGTCCCCGCCCTGGCCACTATAGGACACCCGCCTGGGCCACACCTGCCAGCCAAGACCAGAGCCGATGTAACGTGCCCACCCCACTGTGGCTTGTGCATGTTTCATAGGGGAGGAAACGTAGAGTCAGAGAAATTAGGGGGCCTTCCCAGTGTCACCTAGCACATTAGTGATGAGATGGGTCCCGGTCCTGGCAGCTGGGTTTCACCAGGTCTGTGAAAACCCTGCGGTCTTTGAGGCCCAGAGACCCAGAGGTCACACAGCAAGTGGTGGAGGGGAGTGGGGGAAGGTGTCCCTGGGTCTCCCTGTAGTTGGGTGTCTTCCTGGCACCCCCTGTGCAGTAAGGTGGAGGGCCCTGCTGAGGTTCACGGGGCTGTGCTCTCATCTCCCCAGCCTTATCCTCAACTCCATTCTCCTCGCCGATCGTGAACCACACCTTTCCCTGCACCAACCCCAGCACCCTTCCCCGTGGATCCCAGCCCATGAGCCCCCGGACCACAATGGGGCGGAGGAGGCAGCGGAGAAGAGAGCACAAGAGTTCATGTAAGCCACGGTCTCTCCCACCCTCTCTGGGCTGCCTGTGTGCCTGAGACAGAGACTTGCCAAAGGGTGGGGTATTTGGGGCCAAACCCCAGGCCTGTATGTGGGGGTGTCATTAAATAGCATTAATGGTACACCAGGCTGCCACTGATGGCTGGCACTGCGCAAGGACACATCTGAGGGGTGCCAGTTACTTTGTACATTTTAGTCTTGTATTTTTATTATGGAAAATTCCTAGCAGGCGGTGGCAAAGTGTCTTGAGGATAGGATGCCTTTTCAGACTTGCACAAAGGTCTCAGAGTTCAGCAACTGCATTTCATTTTTCTTTCATTCTTTCTTTTCTGATCCATTCCAGAGTGTGCTGTAACTGTGTTCTTACCTCTCTGGCGTTTAAAACATTTCCCCTAAGACAAAGACACATAGGCCTGAGATTAGCCATACAGAATGTCATAATTTTTATGTTTACTATATATATTTCTACTTACCTTTTGATTACAGACTTTTCTCTTTATTTATTAAGGTATTTAAATATTTTAAAGAGTGAGTAAATGTAAAGAAAAATAGTAGTGAGTGAAAATGCAAAAGTCGTAAGAATGCTCAGAATTTTAAAATCTTTCCTGGGAAGAATCTTTCCTTGGTTGATGTAGAAAATGTACCCAACCTCCTGCCATGTGAGTTGCAGAGGCCTCCAGGAAGGATGGAAGGTCAAACTGGACCATTTGGAATTGAACCAGGGGAGGGAAAAAAGGAATACAAATCACCTGGCACATAAAAGGAGCTAAATATGGTTATGAGCTTTCTGGCAGCCAAGGTGAAAAGGGAAACAGATTTTAAAGTCAACTGAGAAATAAAACACCAACCACCTTTGTCAACCAACAAAGCTAGGGATGTGTAGGTGAAAAGATTCAGAAGTGCTATTTATAGGCAGGAGCATGTGGAAGCTGGAGGCTTTTGGGACCCCTTACCTCTCCTCTTCCTAGAATGGGTAACTAATAAAGTTATCATTGTTATTATTGATAATAGCAATTAATTAATTAGTTAAATGACATTTTTGAACACCTGTGTATGTACCAGGCACCATTCTTATCATTAGGGATGTAACAATAAAAAATAATAAATATAAATATAATAACAAAGTATACCCAACAACATAATATATTACACATATTGTAATGTGAAATATGAATTATAACAAAATAGTGTATACAGACATAATTGTATAGTATTAGTAATATAATGAAAAAAAAAATAAATGTTTTTAAATAAATTACATCCAGTATCCATATTTAAAATTTTAAAAAAATTTTACAGTTGACATTCAATATTATATTCATTTTAGGTGTACAAGATGGTGGTTAGACACTTATATAACTTACAAAATGAACCCTCTAATAAGTCTAGTACCCCTCTGACACCATGATACAGCATCTATTCCATATGCTGTATTTACATCCCTGTGACTATTTTGTAACTGCCAGTTTGTACTTCTTAATCACTTTCCAATATCCATATTAATAATACAGATGTATTTTATATATGAAATATAAAACAATATATATTAAATAATATATCAAATAGTTATATATAAAGTTATCATATGACCCAGCAATTCTATATCTAAGCATCTGCCCAAGAGAAATGAAGACATATGTCATGTCCACCCAAAAACTTAGACATGAATATTCATAGCTGAATTATTTATTTTAGCCAAAGGTGGAAACAACCCAGATGTCCATTAACAGATGAATGAATAAACAGACGTGGTATATTCATACAATGGGATATTCGGCCTTAAAAAAGAGTACAGTTTTGATATATGCTACAGTATGGATGAACTTGAAAACATTATGCTAGGTGAAAAGGGGCCAGATGCAAAAGATCACATAGTAGATGATATTAGAGGTCGCTTAGGGCTGGGAGAGATGGGAGGGTTGGGGGTTACAGCTAAAAGGAACAGGGTTTCCTTCTGAGGTGATGAAACTGTTCTAAACTTGATTGTGGTAATGGTTGTACAACTTGGTGAATATACTAAAAAGCATTGAATTGTATGCTTTAAATTGGTGAATACTATGGTAGGTGAATTGTATCTCAAAAAGCTGTTACCAAAACTAACATACATACTGCAGTTATAGTATATAATAGCATTAAAACCTAGCTAACCTAACATAGCATATGACGTAACAATATCACTGACCCTCAGAACCACTGTTTTCCAACATGGCAATCCCAGAAGCTGTCTTCCTTAATCCTTGCCACAGCCCTACCAGTGGGAGTCGAGACTCCATTGCACAGATGGGAAACTGAAGGGGCCGTGACTTGGCTGGCTCCAGGGCGAGGCAGAACTCCCAGTCCCTTGCCCCTCTGACTCCAGGTCCTTGGGCCCAGGCTGGGTTGGCTCCTGCAGGAAGGCCTGGCTGGGCCGGCCCCACTGAGTGCTGTGCCCACCTGCCCCACAGTGTCGCTGGCCTCCAGCACAGTGGGGCCGGGTGGGCAGATCGTGCACACGGAGACCACGGAGGTTGTGCTTTGCGGTGACCCCCTCAGCGGCTTCGGCCTCCAGCTCCAGGGCGGCATCTTCGCCACCGAGACCCTGTCTTCCCCGCCCCTTGTGCGTTTCATCGAGCCTGACAGCCCGGCAGAGAGGTGAGCATACTGCCCCCTCCCCACTGGGCCTGCCACTCCTCTGTGGGAGCTCACGGACAACCAGGGAAACCGAGTCACGCACCAAGCCTGGCTTCACAAGTTATCTCACTTAAACATCACATCAACTCCATCACCAGCCCCATTTATAGATGAGAAAACCAAGGCACAGAGGAGCTGATTCACTTGCCCAGGGTTACACAGCTCATGAGTAACCCAGGATTTGAACCCCTGTCTGTCTGAGGTCAGAGTCCTCTATATATACGTCTTGTAAGGCACGGCATCATTTGGACAGACAGAGAAACTGAGGTTGAGCAAAGTGACGCCCTTAGCCAGAGTCGCATGGTAAATTGCCTGAGGATCTCTAGCTGGCACAGGGCAGGCCTGAGTCACACCCTGCCTGGTGTTCCTGTTTCCCGATGGAGTTGTGCCAGTGATGGAGCTTCTTTTCTCTGCTGGGCCGCCTGGGGTTCAGGTGTGGGCTGCTGCAGGTGGGGGACCGTGTCCTGTCCATCAACGGCATTGCCACCGAGGATGGGACAATGGAGGAAGCCAACCAGCTGCTGCGGGATGCTGCGCTGTCCCACAAGGTCGTGCTGGAGATCGAGTTTGATGTGGCAGGTGAGTGAGAGCCCCTGCTTCCTCCTGACGCTTTGGAACCCTGCACTCCCTTCTCTCTGGCCTGCTCTTGCCTGGTGCAAAGGTGCATGTGGAGCACTAACCGTGGGAAGGGAGGCATTGGCCGGAGGAAGGTATTCCACACACCAGTGTCAGGTTGATGAGGGATTTTGCACCGAAACTCGGGTTAGAGTTCTGGTCCTGTAATTGCGACAATCTATGACCTTGGACAGGACACAGTTTCCTCAATTATAAACTAGTAACTAGAATCCTTTCATTATGGGGGATGTTGCTTGTGTTAGATGAGAGAAATCACGTGAAAACACCCAACTAAGGCCTGGCACATAATAGGTGCTCAGGAAATCGTCACTGGATCCAAATTGGGTTGGATTTGGCTGTGGGGAACCCCTGGCTGGCAGTCGTGAGGTCTGGGTTCCAGTCTGAGATGCCGCTCTGACAGGGTGGATTGGTTATCTTGGACCAACCTGTCAGTTCACCATGCCTCGGTTTTCTCATCTGTCAGGTATAAGAAGCAGGATGGGGTTAGGACAGTGACTTTTTGGGGTCCCTCCCAGCTGGACTAAAATGGATGTGGGGCTGGGTCTCACATGGGTCCACGTCTGTTTGTACCCAGAGTCTGTCATCCCGAGTAGCGGCACCTTCCATGTGAAGCTGCCTAAGAGGCGCGGTGTGGAGCTGGGCATCACCATCAGCTGTGAGTCCCCTCCCCGCTTACTGTCCCCTCCTTACTGTCCCTGCCTGCCCTGGGAGCAGAGTGAGCCCACCTGCTAGGAGAAAGAATACACTTATTGGCCCAGGGGAAAGGCTCCCAGTGGGAGACTTGGGGTCCCCATTCCCTGCACTGCCCAGCTCTGTCTTCAAGCAAGACTGGAGCTTCTCAAAGCCTTAGTTTCCTGTTCTGCACAATGGGAGTCCAGGCTCTTTGGGTCTCCCCGTGGTGTGAAGTCCTTTGTGACCTGGTCTCCATGACCTCTGACACTGCCTCCTGCCATCTCCCTTGGTCACACTCCTCCAGCCACTGCTGTCCTCCAGGCTGTTCCCCGAACAGGCTATATTCCTTCCAGCCCAGGGCCTTCGCACTGGCGGTTCCCTCTGCCCTCTTCCCCACCCCCTTCAGGTCTTTGTTCACCTGTCACCTTGGCAAGGCCTCCCCCACCACCTGATTTGAAATTTCACTGCTCTCTGCACTGTCCCTGTCCTTTGTTTTTCTCCACAGCATGCTTTATCATCTGACAAACTACTTTTAAATTTTGTTGATTTTCTGTGACCTCCACTAGATTGGTAGCTCCAGGAGGGCAGGGATCTTTATTTTCTTCACTACTATTTTCCTTCCTGGCACATAGTAGGGACTCAGTAAATTTTTATTGAATGAATGAATGAATAATGAACGAATGATTATAGGATGAATTGATGAGTAGAGAAAATGAGGCTGACTAGGGCCTGGGAGTCAGGAGCCTGGCTTAGCCCAGCTCTGTCCTGGGGATCCTGAAGGGAAAGAAGTTGGGGTGAGGAGAGTGGAGACCTCACCCACGTGGCCACATCACCACCCCCCACTGCCCTGCTGGGGTGACCTCCTGGTAGATGTCCACCCTGGCCAGGGTAGCACACACGTTGTTGCCAGGTGCCAGGTGCTGGGGGATGGGCAAGAGAGAAAAATGGCTGATGTGGATTGAGCACCTACATGTGCCAGGAGCCTTGGTTATCTAATTTAATCTCAAGACACCCCTAGGAGGTCTGTGGCATCATCCCCATTTTGCAGAGGGGAAACTGAGGCACAGAGAGGTGAGCTGATTTGCTCACAGCCACCCAACTAGGCAGCAGTGGGAGCAGAGCTTGTGGCTCCAAGTCCATGCCCCAATCCTGGGTCTCCCCTGCCCGAGGCTGAAACCATCAAAGGTCAGAGTCATGGCCTCTCTCCCTCCAGCGGCCAGCAGGAAGCGAGGGGAGCCCCTGACCATCTCTGACATCAAGAAAGGCAGTGTGGCACACAGGTAGGGGTGCCCCTGGGCCCCGGGGTCGGGTGAGTAGGCAGTGGGGGTGGGTAGGGCACTGGCATGTGCCAGGCTCCACCCTGCACCTCACCCCTGCTCATGCAGGACTGGCACCCTCGAGCCAGGCGACAAGCTGCTGGCTATTGACAACATCCGCCTGGACAACTGTGCCATGGAGGACGCTGTGCAGATCCTGCGGCAGTGTGAGGACCTGGTGAAGCTGAAGATCCGGAAAGATGAGGACAACTCTGGTATGGCCCCGCCCTGCCCGCCACCTCTTGAGGTCTCCTAGACCAGCAGGTTCCCAGCTTGCAATCCAGGGTTCCCTGTCGTTGAGGAGGGATGGTGGTGAGTGCCACCTAAGGGCTGGCTGGTGGAGACTCCTTGAACGGACAGATGCGGGGAGGTGCAGTACCACAGACTTTTCACTGTCCCTGGGGCCTGAGGCCTGTGGCCCTCCAGGACCCTTAGTGAGTGAACAGACAGAAGGTAAGAAAAATGGCACAGGTTGGGAGGCAATAGAGAGGGGAGAGGACTGTGGCCACTGAAGGGCAAATCCCTTATTCAGAGGGGCAGTCACCAGCTCCTATCCTGGGAAAGAGGGTCACTTGTGGGCAAAATTTTTTTTAAAGAAAAGTTGGAAATCTGGTTTCTTCTTATCATGATTCGTATTGTCACCATCATTATTGTTGTTTTGTGTGGTGTGTGAAATCTACATTTAAAAATTTTGTTCCACGGTTCTTTTCTTTCTTTTTCTAAACGGTGTTTGGGTGGAAGAAAACATTCTGGAGGCAGCAGATGGCCTCAGGGTCCCCAGGTTGAGCCATCTGAAGTCTCGGCATGGTTGACTGTGTGAATTAATGGATGAGTGACTGGATGAGTATGAAAGAGTGCACCAAGGTTTCGGGGGGCTGGGGTGCCAGCTCTCGGACCCTGCTATGCCAGACCCCGCCCCTGATGGGTGTCACCCTTGCAGATGAGCAGGAGACCACGGGTGCCATCAGCTACACAGTGGAGCTGAAACGCTACGGAGGCCCCCTGGGCATCACCATCTCGGGCACAGAGGAGCCTTTTGACCCCATTGTCATCTCAGGCCTCACCAAGCGTGGTCTGGCTGAGAGGTGAGCCTGGGCTCCATAAGGACACACACAGATGGGCCAGTGCCCTGCAGACCTTCCAGGTCCAGATCAGTGCTGGATAAATGTGTGCTAATCCCTCTGCTCCTTCCCTGCCTGGAGAGTCCACCCTTCCTGGGAAATCAGCACTGTGAGCCTTTTTGGAGCACCCTTGTGCCTTCATAATACAGGGGCTGTGTCTGGTACCTGGGTCCCAGCACCTGGATCCTGGCACAGCCTGGGGCTTTTCCCTGCACATTGGGGGCCTGTCCCCTGCTGTCCTCTCCCCTGGAAAGTGGCAGCTGGGGGAGCTGTGAGAAGGAGGGGGTGTCCCAGATTCTCCAGTTGGTTGGGGGGGTAGGTATATCTGGGGCCTGTAGATGCAAAGGGCCCCACCGGACTCACAGGGAGGCCACCCCAGTGTGGGTGAGAGGGAGCATTCTCCCTCAGCTGTGCAGTGAACTCCCAGCACTGAGAGGAGCTGGCTATGAAGGGCGAGGCTGGAGGGGCAGGATGGGTCCCAGAGGACCACACAGTATAGGAAGGGCCACAGGGTGGTAGGGTGGGAGGGATTCTGGGGCCGAAGCCCCTCAGGACAGCTCCCTGTGGGTGTTCCCGCTCCTTGAGCTCCCCCTGCTGGAAATCCAGAAGACTGCAGGGGCCAGTGAGGACCATTCTGACTTCAAATGTCTTCACTCCCGTATTTGCTGGGTACCTACTGTGTGCAGCCCGTTCTGGGTGCCCAGGAACACAACACACAATTCCCCCTTCCTTCATCGAGCTGATCTAGTTTGGCCATCCAACTGCAATATAATGTGAGCTACCAATTTATTTATAAACTTTCTAGTAGCCACATTAGAAAGGTAAAAAGAAACAAAGAAAATGAATCTTAAATATTCCAACATGTAATCAACATAAAAATTATTAACAAAATATTGTATATTCCTTTTTTCATACCACGTCTTCAGAATCTGGTGTGTGTTTTACATTTTCAGCATGTCTCAACTCAGGCCAGCACACTTCAGGGGCCCAGTAGCCACCTGAGGCTAGTGGCACAGCTCTGATCTTCCTCCCTGAAGCTGCTGGACCCTGACTCACTCACTCCCTCTGGCCCCAGGGGAGCTTGTTGAGCAAAGCTAGAGATAAGGGCACTAGGGATTGGACCCTATATGAGCTCCCACATGGGGAGCAACATTTGGGATTCAAGACTACCAGCCCCAATCCTCTGCCTCTTTCTCCCACAGCTGGGTCAAGTGCATTCTCAGCAGATGCTGCAACTTTTCCCCACCCCCTCAATCCTGGCTGCTCCTCAGAATCAACCCCAGTCCCATAGATTTAATTGTTCAGGGGTGGGGCCAGGCATCTGCATTTTTAAAAAGTTCCTCAGTTCATTCTACTAGTATCTGGGTAGAAAACCACTGGGCCCCGGGATTATGCTCACTCTCTAGATGGGGAAGCTGAGGCCCAGGGAAAAGCAACAGCTACCTGTGTATTTTTGCTGGATGGAAAGATGAACCCATTCCACTCATCCATCCTTCAATAATAATTCAATAAAATAAGTATTATCATCCCTACTTTACAGATGAAGGAACTGAGGTAAGTTAAGAAACTACCCCAAGATCATGTGGCTAAAATTTGGCAGCTAGTTTGTGTGATTCAAACCAGGCTCAAAACTCATGCTTGACACTGGTTCCAGATCCTAACTTTACAGTTAAGCAGGATAATCCCCTCCCGGATTCTAGATTTTATACTTCTATTAATGCAATTCAAGATCACACTTGCTCTTTTTAGGCAGCTGGGTTTAACTGAGATCAACCAGGCTAGTGCCTTGGGGTTCCTGGTTTCCTGAGGACAGACCCCACCACTCTGAAGCCCTGAGTGTCTAACTCCCATTCTCTGCTCTGTGCCTCCTCTCCAGGACTGGCGCTATCCATGTTGGGGACCGTATCTTGGCCATCAACAGCGTTAGCCTCAAGGGCCGGCCGCTGAGTGAGGCTATCCACCTCCTGCAGGTGGCCGGTGAGACCGTCACACTGAAGATCAAGAAGCAGCTAGACCGTGAGTCTCACCTTACACCTTGGGGCCATTGAACCCATTTGGGAAGAAGGTCTCTCTGTGCCTCTGTGCCAGGCTTTGTGTGCCCCATCTCACAGAACCCTTGCTAGCCCCTATGGAGGTGGAAGGGTACCTGAGACAACTGAGGAGACAAGACTCAGATCGGGGAGTGAGGGGCCCAAAGTCATACAGCTTGTGTGGGCAGAGTCTGGGTCTGAACCCTGTTCTTCATCACCTTCTGCCTCTTAAGGCTGCTTGTTGCACCTTGTGGTCATAACCTGTGCTTTCCTCACCTTCCCCTGAATTTGTCCCCCATGTCTTGGCAGGGAGCCCACCATGTACAGTGGAAGGAGCCTGAGCTTTGGGGTATTCCTTCTAATCTGGGCTCCACTGTTGCTCATCATGTGACCCTTAGGCATGTTGTTCAGCTTCCCTGAGCCTCAGCATTCCCATCTGTGAAATGGGTTTGTCTATCAGTGTGGCACCTCCCTCATCAGACTGCGCAGCAGCAGGCTTAGGGGGCTCAGTGCCTGTGAATTCCCAAACCAGACTGAAGTGGGGAAACAGACTTACTGAGCATCTCTGTATCTCCAAGGTCAGAGGCCAGTGGCAGTGATCCCCCCTTTTCCTCTTAGGCCCGCTTCCACCCCACAAGTCAGGCAGCTTCAGTGAGCCCAGCGATGCAGATGAGGACCCGCCAGAGGCGCTCAAAGGAGGACAGCTGACAGCCCGGTTCCCACCCCCTGTGCCCAGTGTGGACAGCGCCGTGGAGTCCTGGGACAGCTCGGCTACAGAGAGTGGTTTTGGGGGCTCAGGTAACACCTTAGAGCCCTTGGACAAGCAACATGCTGTCTCTGGCCTTTGCAGAGCTTTTCCCTCTGCTAGTCCTCCTACTCGTCTCTAACTCCATCCACTAGGGACACTTTCCCTGAAGGCAGATCTGATTGGGCCCCATTAGCCTTTCTCGGGGTTCCTCACTCCTCAGACCTTCAGACCTCAGGCCACAGACCTTCACATGCCTTTTAATTAACATCCAAAGCACCCTGAGAAGAGGTTAAGGGACCCAGCTCATCTTCTGCCGTCTCTCTCATGCTAGCCTGGTGCCCAGCACACAGCAGGTGCTCAAGCAATGCTCATTGCATCCAGCTGAAGATGGGAAGGCAGAAATCCCCTTCCCACCCCATCCTACAAGATCCAGCCTGGGGTGGAAACCTCCAGGATGCCCTCCTAGGACACAAATTCCCTTGTCCATGCATGTCGAGACCCACGGGTGGCCTCTGGAGGGGCAGGGGGCATTTGAGTCCCGTGGCTGGCCTTCTGGCTTCTGTGACCCTGAGCCACAGGGACTCCCCAAAGCCCAGCTCAAGGAACGAATGGAGTGAGGCCTCTAGGTGGCCTCGGGTGGCTCCCAGCCCTGGCCCTCACTCTCTGGGTCTCAGCTTTCCCATCTCGAGCACTTGGTCAGCATCTCTCAGCCCAACACCAGGCAGGACCTTCAGAGCTCTCAAGGGCAGGGAGAGAAGGGTGGTTAAAATTTTGACCCTCCCTCTCAGGCAGGGGATCAGCCAAACAGAAGCCAGTCGAGCTGGGACAGGGTCCTGGAGCCCCAGGCATTAACTCTTCTGCCAGATGATCAGGATATCCGGGGGTTTCTGAGGTAGGGACCTAGGTGGCAGGAGCCCTCAGGGCACTCTGGGTAGTCGTGCTGGCCCAGAGAGGGCAAAGACCTATTTAGGGTCACCCAGCACTACTAGAAATGGATCAGGAAGGAGGGCAAGTTAAGGGCACAGAGAAGATGCAGACATCCCTTGTCTCCACCTGCTAGGGTCCTACACTTCACAGACGACAACCCGGGGTGTGAACCCCCAGGAGTGGCAGCCCAGCCGTCTGAGAAGCAGCCCCCCACCCACCAAGCCCCGGAGAACGAGCTATACCCCAGCTTCTGCTGACAAGAGCTTCCCCGAGGAGGAGGAAGAGGAGGAGGATTGGGAGCCACCAACTAGGTCTGTGGTGGGAATGCCATGAGGAAGGAGACAGCCATGGTCTCTGGGCTAGGATGGGTGTGGGTAGTGGTCCCTGTGCCACAGTGGTGGAGGCAATGCAAGAATCTTGTCTGGCCCCCAAGGAGCACCTCCTGGGAGAGGAGAGGAAACGTCGAGCACACTGAGGCAGGCCGCGATGGTGGAAAAGCTGGGAGGAGGACTCAGCAGGCGCAAAGCTGGGGTGGGGGGAAGCAGCCTTCCCAAGTCTGTTAGTCTCCTGTTCTCAGAAGAGCAGCAGCAGACTCAGAACTTAAACCCAGACCTTCCCGACTTAGCCCAGATTGCTTGATGGCCTCCTGAAAGGACCCTTTGGGTCATGGGCACCAGCCTTGGGTCATGGATATGGTGGTTTTTGTAATGTTGGCTTCGAAGGTCTCCCTGAAGGAGGAGGCCCCTGCAGAGAGCTGGCTTGTGGAGGAATGCCGTTCCTCATCTAGCCCTGGCCACCCCTCCCCATGTCTGTGCTTTTGGTCAGGCAGTTCCTTCTGCCCAAAACACCTTTCCCTCTCCTCTCCTGGCCAACATCTACTCATCTTCAAAACCCAGCTCACATTTCCCTGCCTCTGGAATGCTTGGCTTTCTCAGGCCCATGCCATTGCTCCCTCTGCTGGTACTCACAGCTGCTCGGGTGGGCCTCCTAGTGGCACTAGTCACCTTGCGTCTACCTGGTTAATTACCTGAGTCTTCTATGTCTCTTCTACGTGGCACCCCTTGCCCAGTGCCTGGCACCCAGTAGGTGCTCATACACACTTTGTGATTGAATCCTCAGTTCCCTGAGAACAGGGGCCACACCTTATTCTACTCGATAGCCCAATTGTTTGTACAATTGACTTAAATGGAGAGAATGTCCTTCAGCCTCAGCCTTCTCATCTTTAAAACGGGAAGGGAGAACTATTTCGCATCATTGTCCCTGAGGCTCCCTAGAGGGAAGCCTGCATACCTTTGGAAGAGAGAAAGCGCTTTGCAAACCATTGCACACTATATAAACAGTCAGGATTTCGTACATGGCAGATGGCTTTGTGAGCTCTGCAGTGTGAAAACCTGACTTGTTACCTTTCTAACGAGACTCAGTTTTAGAGCTGATGATGAACTTATGCAACCTGTGATGGAAGTTATGGGGTGGCCTCAACCCCTCCCCCAGCACAAATACTCTATCGTCTCCATCCATCTGTGTCCTTGTCACTGTCCTCTGGTGCCATGTGTCTGGGTGGGGCCAGAAGCCGTCCTCTGGGGCTACACCATGGACCTTCTCTTTGTCTGTCTGTCTGTCCTTCGTCTGTCTCTCTTCCCAGGCGTCCTGTGTCACTGCTCTCCACCCCGTCTCATCTGCCCCTGTTCTAAGACTGGCAGTCTTGGAACTGCGTCTTCCCCCCATTCCGTGTCACCTACCACTGCCCCGGGGCCCCGGCACTGCCACTGAGGATGCCCGCCTGCCCGCCCGCCTGCCCACCCTCTGGCCCCTCGAGCCCAACGCTGATGGCCATTTAGAAGACTCCTCAGGCCCCAGCCTGCCTGCCTGCCCACCCGCCCGCCAGGAGTTGACACTCTCTGGTTCCTACGTTACAGCCCGGCCCCCGGCCCTGCCCACAAGGAGGGCTTCTGGCGTGTGTTTGGGGAAGCCCTCGAAGACCTGGAGTCGTGTGGTCAGTCAGAGCTGCTGAGGGAACTGGAGGTAGGGCCACCTGCCCTGCAGGCCTGTGTGGGGGCACCTGCATCTGGGCACAATGGTGTGTGTGCCCGTGGGAGGCAAGCATGTCTCTGGGATTGTGTTCACGTGTAACGTGTATGCATGCACTCACCCAGCACCCTCTGTGTAAAGGTGTCTTCACGCGTGCAGACTGTGCATGGACATGTGGATAGGTGTGACTGAGAGCATCATGGTTGGCACATCAGGGTGTGTGCACATGTGAGCATGTCTGGCATCATCGCGTGTGCATTGGGACCATGTATGTGTGCATACTTGTGAGCAGGCTCATGCATGCACAAATGCTGAGTGTCTTTTTAGACCACGTGTGTCAGAGTATACACAGTTGGATGCAAAGGGGCAGTTTTGGTGTTTGTGTGTGCATGTGCTGTATATGTGGACGTGGCTGTGGGCATGCCCTGTGGAAGCGTGTGGATGTTGACATTTATAACACAGGAGGTGAGGAGCCAGAGGAGCTGAAATGCGGCTTTGTGTGAGGTCAGCATTACCCGTGATGGAACAGGCTGCCCAGAGGAACCTAGGGGAGATCTGATGGGGTCACTTCTGAATCCCTTCCCACTCTGAGAGCAATCTCGTTTACATTTCTGCTGTGCTTTCACATTTACTCTGTGCTGTGTTCTAGTTGCTTTCCTTAATCTGTCTTCCAATTTGCTAATATTCTCCTTGGCTTTATTTAGTCTACTGTTTAACCCATTTCCTAAATATTGTATTTCAACTTCTACATTTTTTATTTCTTTAATTTCTCATTATTTTTCATCTTTTCACAGTCTTTTTTCTTAATGTTTCATTTTCTTATTTTTCTGCACATTTTAAGCAGACTTATTTTAAAGTTCCTTTAGATGTCTTTTCCTAGTTCTTTGGGTGCAAATTCCTTGGTTGTGTTGTGAGTAGGTAGACTTTGTATTTCACATTGTGCTTACTTTCGGCAGCGGTTACTCCTGGAGGCATCCCGCGTGTGCTCTGTGTCGTTGAAGCATCGCTAGGGTGGAGCCTCACAGGTCTTTGCTGGGGCTTTTGAACTTCATTGGTTCCAGACCAGTTTTTCACATTAATTCCTCAGCTCGGTGTTTCTATTACACTATTTATGGGAGGCAGATTCTGGCCTCATGCTTATATAGTGGTCACCTGAAGCTCCTGGTTTCTCACAAATGGTTTCCCCAGCTCCTGGTGGTTCCTTTCTGCGCCCCTGTGCAGGCAGGCATTTAACGGGATGGCACTCTACCAGCTCTCTGCTTTTCCCTGAATGGGCACCCCAACTCCTAACATGTATATCTGGTCCCATAGGCCAAATGGTTCTACTCCTGCTCATGTCTGTCTCTATCTAAATTTTTCTTTCTTATTTTGAAAGTGTTTATTTAAAAATTTAAAATTTACTACAAGATTTGGAAGTAGATGAGAGCTTTCTGTATTAGTTCAGTCTCCGTCTTTTTAAAAATATGTTTTTATTGATTTTAGAGAAAGAGGAAGGGAGAGGGAGAGAGAAGCATCAATGTGAGAGAGAAACATCGATCGGCTGCCTCCCGCATGAACCCTGACAGGGATCGAGCCACAACCTAGGCGTGTGCCCTGACCGGGAATCAAACCCTCGATCTTTCAGTGCACGAGACGACAGTCAACCGACTGAGCCACGCTGGCCAAGGCTCAGTCTGCATCTTAATTGGAAGTCCTAGAATTCTACAATTCTAGGCGTCCAAGAGCCTATGATATACCCTGATTTTATTTTTTACCGATTCTATCACCCCAAGATTCTGAGTCTCTGGTCTTTCCTTTTGGACCCTGGCTCTCCAGGCGGGTGAGAACCAGTTGTAAGAGTGGAGAAAGGTGCCTCTGCCTCTTTGTTCCATGTCCTTTCCCATTCTCCTCTCTTCCTTCCCACCCCACCCCAACCCAACCCTTTGGCCCTAAGACAATAGTTGTCATAATCTGCCTTCCCTTCGGGGACCACTAAAAGACCCAAACTCCCAGCCCCAGTGTCGGAGAGGACTCCCACCCCACCAACCCCCAAAGCCCTGCCCTTACTCCCATCTATGGATTTCCTAATCTGAATGTGAATAAATTTCCCTCAGGGCCACACACTTGCCCCTCTCAGTTTAAGGCACAGCATTTATGACTCTACTCTACTTTCCATGAGCACGCCTTCCATTCATCTCTGACACATGTCTTATCTCTGCTCCTTTTGTCCTTCCCCACTGTCGCCATCCCTGTCCAGACCGCAGTCATCTTTTGCTTGAACAACTACATGGTCCTTAACAGGTCTCCCTCCTGGTTTCCATGCCCACCTCCGTAGTACAGTTTCCACTCAGCAGCTACAAGATGCTGCTACATCCACAAATCTGATCCTGTCCCCCACTTGCCTAAATCCTTCAGAGTGTCCCCATTGCTCTTGGGGTAAAGTTAATGTTTCTCACTGTAGTCCCTGGGGCACACAGGATCAAGCCCTCCTCCCAGCCCCATTCCATGCACCCCCTCCAGCCTTCTTCCAGATTCCCATGGCAGAGGCTTTGCACATGCTGTTCCCTCTGCCGGCTGGGGCCTCTCTTCCTCCCCACCCCCTTTCTTGCTCAGGAAGCTTCACACTGCACCGGTTTTGTTGTCCTAGGCCCTCGCCTTCCATGTACCAGGCCTCTGTGACTTTTGCTGCCATGTGTAACTTTATCATATTTGTTTTTGCAATTAACAAGGTATAGAGTGGTTAGGACATTCAACTTTGGAGCCAGTCTCTGAGTTCAAATCTTAATCTCTCTAAGCCTCAGTTTCCTCATCTGTAAAGTGGAGAAAAATAATGGTATTTGTTGGTCTCAAATATCGTGCAGGATAAAATGAGTTCTATGTATAAAGTGCTTAGAACTGAACCCAGCGCAGAGTTAGAGCTAATTCAGTGCCAGTGAAGATTATTCTGATTGCTAGTGTGACTGGTCAGTTCTGGGCGTCCCAGGAGGGCAGCTCTGCATCTATGCCCCTCACCATGGTGACCTTGAAGGCTGGCACACAGTAAGTGTCCAAAGATGCCGACTGAGAACAGTGAGTGTCTGAGTGAAGGGTTTGTCCTCACAGGCATCCATCATGACCGGCACCGTGCAGAGCGTGGCTCTCCAGGGCAGGCCTGGCCACCGGCCCTGGCGGAGGGGCCGGGAGGTACGCGCCTCCCCCGAAGAGATGCGGCAGCTGCTGCTGCCGACAGCCCTGGAGATGCACAAGGTGGGTGCTGGGGGTGGGTGCAGGAGGCCGGGGCCTGTGCCCTGGTGCCATGAAGACTCTCCATGGGCCCCAGATGGGCCCGCCTCTCTCCAGGCTTCACTTCTCCACCATGAAATGGGGATTTTGTACTGGTTTCTCAAAACTCCCATCACACACACACACACACACACACACCCCTGTAATGCACACTGGGCTATTACTTATATTTTTATTTAAGTAGACTCACTTTTCCCAAATTAAGTTAGTGTGTATACACACACACACATATGCTTCTATATATTATATGTGTGTATATATATACATAGGCTTCTATATATTATATGTGTATATAGTAATACTACCTTAAATAAAAAGCCAGCATTTTTGCCATGTATAGGTTACTATATAGGAAAAAAACACAGCCCAGCTAGTTTGGCTCAGTGGTTAGAGTGTCAGCCTGTGGACTGGAGGGTTCTGGGTTCGATTCTGGCCAAGGGCACGTACCTTGGTTGCAGGCTCAATCATCGGCCCTGTTCAGGGTGTGTGCAGGAGGCAACCAATTGATGTGTCTCTCTCACATCGATGTTTCTCTCTCTCCCTTCCACTCTCTCTGAAAAGCAATAGAAAAAATATCCTTGGGTGAGGGTTAAGAAAAAAACACAGAGGAGAAAAAAACCTCTCACCCAATAGCCCTCAAAAACCTCTGAGCCTGAAGCGTGCTCTTTGGTAAACTGGGAGATGAGCAAGTGTTAGGGGAGGTGAAAACACATGGGCACCCCCCCCGCCAAGACCTTCTCCTGGGTGGAGGGAGGGGACTGAAAAGAACTGAAAGGAGCTCCCTTCCTCAGGGCCCTGCTGTGATTGAGCGCTATGACCCGGGACTGGCTGAGGTGCGGAAGGGGAAGGGGGCTGCATGGGCACAGGCAATAAAGGGTGGGGAGTACAGCTGGACAAGGGGCTGCGTCCCAGAGACACTGAACGACAGACCAAGGGATTCCGGCTACTGTGGGAAGCTGGGGACAAAGCTCAGTACTTCAGGGACCTCTTCCTCCTTCTGCTCCAGGTGACCCTGCACAAGGACCCCATGAGGAATGACTTTGGTTTCAGCGTCTCTGATGGCCTCCTGGAGAAGGGTGTCTATGTCCACACTGTGCGCCCTGATGGGCCTGCCCAGCGTGGGGGCCTCCAGCCCTTCGACAGGGTCCTCCAGGTAATGCTGCAGCAGGGGCACCTCAGATGGAGTGGTCTTTCCTAGTCCTGGGCTGGCTGAGTGGCCTTGGGCAGGTTAACCTCCCCTCTCTGAGCCCCAGCTTCTTCATCAGGGGAAAAGCGAATGACAACACCAGTTACATTAGTCAGGTTAGTCAGTTATGTTGCAGTAACAAGCGACCCTGAATTTCAGTGGCTTAACACACATGAACAATTACGCATTGCTTACACTGTGCGCCCAGCTCCGCCTGGGCTGATGGAGGCTCCACCCCATGGTCGGTCATTACCTCAGACTTCACAGCAGAGAAAATCAGACAGGAAAATCGGATATGGGTTTTTTTCTGCCTTTACCAGTCACTCCCCTTCATGGCCTATTGGCCAGAATTAGTGATGTGACCTCACCAACTGCAAGGGAGGCTGGGAAATGTAGGCGAGCAGATGGACGGTTATGGGCATCCTGGCTCAGCCACCTGGGCTGCCTTTCCCATGCCCCAGCTACTTTTATTCCCTCGGTGTGATTTCTGCCATATTTGTGCTAAATTTGCTGAATACGTGTTTTCTCTAAATTGATGAAGTTTTTTTCAAGTTAAATTTATTTTAAAAGGAAAATTTTCTACTCAGGAATGAAAACCCAGCACTGTTCGCTTGAAATAGAAGGCCAATGTAAAATATAAATGAAATAGAAATGAGGCATGGTCACAAAATTCTAGGCAGGAGGCTAAGTGTGTGTGTGCTCTTTCATGATAAAAAGGGAGAAGCAGGTGTCAGAGGGGTGTGAAGGGTGTATTGGCACCTCCCTAGGACTTTCTCTTTGATTAAACTCACCAGAGGGATTGAGAGAGTTAAGCGAAGAATGACTTCCCGTGTGAGTGTTCTAGATTTACCCAGGCTGGGCTAATGCCAGTCTGTCCCTTTGCCTGTGCACGGTGCAGGTCAACCACGTTCGCACGCGGGACTTCGACTGCTGCCTGGCGGTGCCACTCCTGGCTGAGGCGGGCGATGTGCTGGAGCTGGTCGTCAGCCGCAACCCACTGGCACAGAGCAGCCGGACCCCTCGAGCACCAGGCCCCAGCAGCCCCCAGATGCTCTGAAGTCAGTGTGGTCCAGACACCCAAGGGGCCACTAGGGCAGATCCTGGCTCCCAGACCTGTAACTGGGCTGGGAAAGTGGCCACCCACGCGTTCATCTGTCTATCTGGCAGGCTCTGTTCTCCGATTCTGTGGAACTGGGGTGCTGGGCACTGAGGTCCCTGCCCCAGTTGGAGTGGCATCTGGTCTTTCTCCACATTGGATCTCCAAGATGCCCAGAGGTGCCAAGACCAACAGAGATAGGCTGCTCAGCTGGGAGAAGAGGGATCTGGACATGGCCCCAGGTCCCTACAGGGCTTCCTCAGAGGGTGTCTGGTGCGGGGAAAGCCTAGCTCAGTGTAGGGAGCACTTTCTCCCAGCAGAGCTATGGAGCTGGAATGAGCTGCCACAGAGGAGTGAACTCCCTGTCACAGGAGGTGAGGAAGCAGGAGCTGGATACCCCAGGGGGGGCTTTGAATGAGGTGTGAGGCATCCCAGTAATGCAGTCACACGTACTCAGAGGGTGAGTTTCCCGACATGGGGAGCATTGGGTAGGAGCCTTCTCCAGAATTCTGGTGTTTGGGGCTTTCTGGTTCCGAGATTCTCTGATTCCAAGCGTCCCCACTTGGAAGGTTCTAAGCTGGGGTGTCTGGAATCCAGGAAACACCAACTCTTTGATATGAAAGTGGGTGATTGTTTCAGTTTGGCGTCTCTGGTCTGAAGCTTCTGAGGTTTGAGACTGCGGTTCTGGACCCACTGGGCAGCTCAGTGTCTGGCTTTGGGCTCTCAGCCCCTCCTGCTGCTTTTGCAGGACAAGTAGCCGCTGATCCATCTGCATACACCCCTCTGAGCCCAGGCTTCTCCATGTGGAGGGAGTCAGTCATTTGGGGACAAAATTGGGGCTCCATTCACCTGTCATTCAGTGGCTAAGGGAAGCCATGGAAATAGGAATATAAACTGATGCAGCTACTCCCCCATGTCCAACTCACTGGAAGAGAAGGAGGGAGAAGTGCAGAGGGGGAGAGATAGACGGGAGAATGATAGGCTGGGGAAACGGCCATTCTCTCTCACATCCAGTGGTGAAAGTGTCCAAAGTGGTCATTCAAGGAAGTTTCTTCCCACTTGAAATCTGGAAGCACCAGCATCTCTTAAAATCGTTTTCCTCATTTTCCACAGACCAGACACCCTTTTGATTTTGAGAAGGGCATGGGGCCTCCACCTGGTGGTCTGGGTGTGGCCCCTGGTATGGAGATGGGCAGGCAGGATGCAGTGAGGTTTGGGGCTTTGCTTTGCCCCTACCCAGCTCTTAATGGGGGTTTCAGGAAAATGGGGCACCCACTCCCACCTGCACCCTCCTCCACCTCTGTTCCCTGGAGGCCCAAAACATGTTCTTCCATTCAAGAGACCAGATGGGAAGTCAAGAGGCCTGTTCTCCGCCCCCCTTTCAGTTGCTGCTACACCCCCTATGAGTCTGCCGCCTCCTCTGGACAATCAAGGGGCAAACAGTCTCTGGGCAGTTACAGGCCTCCCTGTCCCCTGTGGTCCCCTCAGCACTATGCCACACTCTTCCTAAGGGCCTGCCTCCCCTTCTCTCCCCTCCCCCTCCCCCTCCTGTACCCTGCTCCTCTGCACCCTCCCTGGAGAGCTCTTCATGCTCTGGCTGGACTGCTCGGTGCCTCTACTGTCTTGGATTCCTGTGTGAACATCCACCTCCGAGCGAAAGGGCACTGCCCACCTGTTACAGGGGCAATAAGCAAAAGCCAAGAACCCCCACCTTGGAGTGGGGGATACAGCAGAGACATGGCTTCTTGCAGCCTCAACTGTGTGACCTTAGGAAAGTGGCCCAGTCTCTCTGGGCCTCTTGCATTCGACAGAGCTGGACAGAACACACTCCCACGGGCTCTTGGCTTGGGAAAGCTGCACTGGACTGCAGGCGAGGGAAGGCACATCCTAACCCTGACCAACGCTCCCCTCCCTCCTGGGGCTGGGGCCTCTGCCATCCCCCTCCCCCCTCCACGTATGCAACGAGGCCTGTTGGCCTGGGGGCCTGGGGGCCTGGCGGGTGGACCTCCTCGCTGTGGCCGGCCTTCTCATATGCAATATTTCTTCTGGCTTCTCATGGGGATTTTTCATCCCCGACTTGATGTTTCCTGACACCCGTCCCCAGTGAGCATCCTGCCTGCCTATGCATTTTGGGTACAGCCCTTGCAACTTGCCCCTTCCACCCCTAAAAGCTGTATTTTTCTCTGGCTGAGATGAGAGCATATTCCTTGTAAAGTATTTTTCTACATGGGGTTTCTTAGGGCTCTCCGGAAGCACTACAAGCCAAGGGGCTGCACTGCAAAGGCCGTTTGGGGTCTGTCTGCGCCTCATGTAAATCTGTCCCACCAGGGGCTGCAATGACTTGGGAGTTGGGGGTGGGGTGCTGTTGGGATGATTTGCATTTTTTTAAATAAAATTATTTAAATGCACTTAGAGTAGGGTGTCTACTTTTTCTTTTAAATCATAGGCTGGCAAGAGTCCGCCTCTGTTTGGCTCTTGGGATGTCTCACCTGCTTTTGATTCATTCATTATTATCCATTCAAAAAGCCTTTGTGTTCTCGGCATCACTCTAGCCCCTGGGGAGAAACAAAAGGAGAGTGATGACACCCTGTCTGAATGGAACTTATATTCTAGTGAAAGACAGTTGACAAGTGAAAAAAATCACAAAGGATTTTTTTCAGGAGGAATAAAGAGCAACGAAGAAAACAAAACAGTAATGGAGATGACTGTGGTGGGGACCGTTAGCTCAGGGAATCAGGAAGGGCTTCTCAGAAGAGGTGACTTTTGTGCCAAGACCTGAAGGACATGAGTCAGCCCTGTAGAGATATGAAGGAAGCATGTCCCAGACAGAGGGCATAGCAGGTGCAAAGGCCCTGAGTTGGGAATGAGCTTGATGTTTCAAGGAAGAGAAAGGAGGCACAGAAGGGAGTAGGGTTAGAGACCAGACTGAAGGTCACGAGCCCAATCATGAAGGCTTGGGTAGGGACTATGGATTTTATTCTCTGTGGTGGGGGAAGCCACTGAGGCAGGTGATTGGAGGGTTTGTTGCCTGGGTGGAGAAGGGGTCAAGAGGGCAGCCCGGGGGGTGGTGTCATGGGTAGGATGAGCCCAGGGGGCAGGTCTGGGTCCCACTGGGGGAGCCAGAGCTCTGTGTGGACAGAGGAAGAGCTTCCCATTAGCTATGCCAGATGCAGTGAGCTCCCCCTCAGGAGGGGTATAAGCAGGAGCTGGACCACACCGATTACATTTATGTGGCTGGGCTAAGAAAATTGGAGGCTGTAGTAGTGTTGCACAGGGCTCTGCTGGTCTTCTGGGAGGCAGCATCGGTCCTACAGTCTGGCTGAGTACCAGGCACTGTTCTGAGAGCTTTGCAAGAATTCCCTGGATCCTCCCAACAACTTTCAGAGGTGGCTCTATTTCCATCTCAACATTATAGATGAGGAAATGAGGCACAGAAAGGTTAAGTAGCTTGTCCAAGGTCACATGGGTAAGAAGGAATAGTCAGGACTTGAATACAAGTCATATGGCCAAAACACTCAGGGAGGCAGGGAGGGAGGGAAGTGGACAGAGGCCAACAGAGAGGCAGATAGCCAGAAAAAGAGGGGAGAGAGAAATTTTATTCTAGCATTGTCTATAAATAATGAAATACTGAGAAAGATTCCTTTAGTCTGGGAAGTTGGGGAAAGGACTCAGCAAACTCTCCTGACCTTGCCCACTCACAAAAGGTGATGGGACCAGTGGGCTGGAAGGCTGCCCCAAACACTGACCCTCTCCTGGCCTGTTTCCCCATCTAGAACAGTGTTGGGCTTATGACCCTAAAGCTGAGGACATCTGTGCCAACCACTGGCCTTTTGGGGTCCTGAGTGTCCTCCCTGTAAGGTCCCTAAGTGCATACCTCCAGGATTTGCCACTTACCCATCTTCCAGCAGCCCTCTGGCCCCACTCTTGGACTTGGCAATCAGAGCCCCCGTGGGATGGCATGGGATCAGACTTTAGTGACTGCACCTGGTGGGAGGCTGAGGGGGCAGGGAGGGCACCAACCTCAGTTAGTGCCCCCCTCCCTGCACCCCCTTCCTGGGTTACAGCAGGATAACCCTGTGCCAGGAAAGAAGGAAATGAAGCCAGGGCAGGTCAGGGCCTGATGCATTATGAGCATCACCTCTAATCATTCCTAAACCCTTAAAGGGGGCTGTGGTTTATTCCAGATGGGGAAAGTGAGGCTCTGGAGACTGTGAGAGATCTCCCAACTGCATGGGCTAAGCGTGTAGCAGGTGAGCTTCACTCAGCAGGACCAGTAGACCTAGCCAGAGCTGGCCCAGGAGTCAGCGGACCTGAGTGAGAAGGACTTTTGCACAGACTTGCTGTGTGCCTGTGAGCAAGCCTCTGCCTCAGTGTCTCCAACCCTGAACCTCTGAGGAGCATCCTGGGGTGGGACTGAAAGCGCCTTAGGAACTGTAAAGCACTTGCCAAATATAAGAAAAAACAACCTCATCGAAAGAGAACCCACACGTGTTGGATTTAAAAAGGAAATGTTTATTTTCATGTTATAAGGTGATTACAAACTCCTCTAAAAAAAAGCAAAGATGGATTTAAAATATTGATATACATATGTATCTAAAAAGCAAAAGAGGAAAGGAAAAACCCTGCGAATACAGGGATTCATATCATAAAACATTTATACACAAAAGCTTGTATATTGCAAGACTGAATTACACACCAAGGATCTTATTCAAATACAAATGTTCCTCCTCAGAACAGTGTCTTGTTGGTTGAATTTTTTTTTTTTACAAAAGTTTAAAATATCTTAAAAATATTTTGAAGTTTAAAAAAAAAAAAAGTCCTGATGAGCCAGACATATTTCTGGAAGGAGGCAAGACCCACGTTCCCAGCTTTCTCTTGTGCTAAATACAGAGTCACAGTTGGTAAGGATTTGAAAATTAATTGGGTAAAAAAAAAAAAAAATGGAGCTAATGTTTCAGTTTGAAGCCAAATGTATCACAAGATGCTTCATCCTTCGGGATTTTGTCAGAACACGTCTGTAGTGACACCCACAAGAGAACAATGAAACGGCTTCCTATTAAAACAAGATGCATTCCGAGAGGGAGGGGCCCACATTCCTCTCCAATTTTGCTATCTGGGTTTTTGTTTTGCGGCTTTGTGCTTGTTGCATTTTTGCACAGTGGTATTTACAGCATCCACATGGAAAGACCAGTTTGGAGTCACCTGACCTTGGGTCTGAGGGCTGGTGAGGCCCTCTAGCCACCTAGAGGGGCTTTCTCTTGGGCCCCTTCCTGGCCTGTGTCTGAGGTATGGGGGCAGGGAGGCACCTCTGCCTTTAGCACTGGCTTCCCAGAACTTCCCCATCCAGAAGGACAGTGTTGCGAGGTCGGCTGGGCCACTGGCCACTGTGCGGTGGGACCTGGTGGCACAAGATTGCCCTGTGCTACCGGCTGAGGGGGGCTGGCTTCCTCACTGTCTCTGGGGCTGTGCAGGGGACCTGGGGGAGATCAGGGGACCAGAGGTACAGAGAGGGAGCTGTGTACCACCTGGAAATCAGAATCCAAGGCCACTTCCTGCTGACTGGGAATGTCCTATGTGGCCTCGGGCTGAATTCTGCCTCAGAGTTCTGCCTCCCGCACACCAGCTGGCTTCTCTGAGCCTCAGTTTCTTCATATGCAATCAGGATCTCAACACCTAGCTCAGGGAGGGCTGCCGGGTGCAGGGCCCAGGTGAACAGGGGCTGCCTCTCCTTCTCGAGGCCTGAGTCACAGCTTGGGGACCAGTTGGCCCAAGGATAGTGAGGGGATGGAGGATGCTGCTCATCTCGTCCCTTTTCCTAAAGGTTCCTCTTTGGTCTTCAGGGAGAACACTGGGGAGCTGTACTCAACACTCGTCACACACGCCTCAGAGGACCTGCAGCTGGAACTGACTGCAGACAGTCTGGTTCCATTCCCACTTGTTGTGTCAAAGTTCCTCCCCCACCCCAGGCCTCCATTTCCCCATTTTACAAGGGTGTCAACTGGGGGGCCTGGAAGCCTCTCCATCACTGACCGTGGGGCTCCCCTGCAGGAACTAACATGGCCCAGGCCCAGTTCGATGAAGCATCTCCCTTTCTCCTGGGACCCCTACCCATTTCTGCATCCTAAAAAAAAATTCTTTAAACACCTCCCTCGCATCCCTTCCAGGTCTGGCTGGCTGGACTATGTGCGGGCATCCGAATTTCTGACCCATCCCGGGCAGAGAATAAGCAGATTGCCCCCTCTCCAGAGACAAGCGGACCAGAGTCATGAGCGCCAATGACAGTTTCCTTTATGTGGAGATATAGAAAAGTCACGCATCATTCCACATTGTACTCATAGAGCCAAGTTCTGCGGATACACCAGAGCTAGGGGATTAGACACGAGGGTAGAGATTGGAGACAGGTGCTGGGGGGAGACTGTCGAGGAATGGGCTTGGGGAAAGTGGCTGACCTTCCAACCAGGTGGGACCTGGGGACTTGGTCTGCATGTGTCTTTGGTCTAGAATTTGGTCTGGGAATCTTTTAAGAAGAGGCCTTCCTCGGGCCATTTTTAGAATGTTGCGATTTGCCCTCCACCTTGTGGCCTTTCACTGGAGGTCTGAGCCCCAGAGGGGAGATAAATGTGGCCTGAAATGACCACAGATGCCCAGGTAGCCACAGCTTGCCAAGCCCCCCTCGATCCACACGTCACCTGTCCCTAATCACTGACAGTGGTTAGTTTACTAAAGTTCCATAAGACAGAAGGAAACAGGTCACATCGCTACTCAGTAAAATTCGGGGGGGGAAACACAATAAAATCAAATCAGACACAGTGGCAACCATAAATACATAGAAAAACAGGAACACACTGGAACTGTGAACGGTCTGGAATAGGTGTTGTTTGGCAGAGTGTATGCTTTAGAAACAGTGAAATGTGAAAGTTTACCAAGACAAGAGGTTCAGAATGGCCTCTGCCCCTTGGGAGGGGGACACCAAGGCTCCTCCCTCTCTTGGATTTGTGGAGGGGAGGTTTTCAGGATTCAGAGAGGCCCTGCTCTGAAAACCTGAGCTGGACTTCACTCCCTACCCCCCACCCCCCTGCTAGGCAGTCACTGCCACTTGTGACGTTTAGACTCTGAACTTGGAAGTGACTTTAAATGGCACAGTTTAGGTCCAAATGGGGGCCAGGGTGGAGCTGTGTTAAAGGTAGAGTATCTTCCCTCTGGTTCAGAGAAGACGCCATTCTCGGTAGAGCCAGTTCTGGGGTGCCAGCCCCCTGAACAACCCCAGCTTCCTAGAAAACGCTCCCTCACTGCCTCCTCTCGGTCCACATAGTGCATATCCGACACCAGCTACTGCAGGGATGAAATGAAGAGTTTTATTATTGCCGGGCTCTACCCTGCGTCGCACTTGTGACTGAACTGGGAGGAAGAGTTTTGAGAGCACTTCATAGATTCAGATATTCAGTGAACCTCCAAAGACGCTCTTGGTTCTTCCTGTGAGGAGCCAGCATGGCCTGGGCTGGGATCTTCCACAAGAGCTTGTCAAGAGTTTCTCCCAGCCTCTGGGAGACGAGGGTAGAGAGATGAGGGGGAAAAAGCACCCCTCCCCAACACCAGGCCACCGAACCTTGGGGCCCACATCCTTTGGTCCACTCACTCACCCCTCATCCCTCACCAAATACACTGATCTCAAAATAAAAGGTGGGATTTTGTTTTTTTGCTATAGGGCCTCACCTGTCAGCTTTAAGTCAGTGCCTTTAAACTCGGGTGGCTGGTTCATTACTTTGGCATCTCTCTTCTTGGCTGCAAGTGTAATGAGACAGCTCTCCTTTCTCCAGCCCCTGTGGGTCTGGCCAGTGGGTGGGGCCCTCTCCCTGCTGTCTGCTTCTACTTGAACCAGGTCTGGGAGGTACTACACCTTTAAAATGGGTTGGCTGTCCCAGGAAAATTCCACCCTGCGTTTTTTTGGGGCAGAACTTTCTGCCAGCTACACAAGCACCAAAGAATTGCTTTTGAAAACGAGATCTATTGCTGGCAAGATCAATTCAAGTGGTAAAAGTGTATGACAATCTCTAAGTGTATATATAATTATATGTAAAAAAGAAAATACAAAGAAAATTTACCAGTTCCCATAAAATACATCTAATTCAGTATGAAAGCTCTGCCTTGCCCCGGACTTCTGCCCATGGGGTTTTTTTTTTGTACAAAATATCCCCAAATCAAAACAAAATACACATACGCACAACACCACACACACGCACACACACACGCACACAGTAATATTTTCTGTGACAATTAAAAAAAAAAAATCCTAGTGCAAATATAAAGCTCTGTAAACCTGGTCCTATGAGAATCTAATGTTAGTAAACAGCAGGAAAGCAGCCCCGTCAGCCCGAGAGAGCTCACATCATGGTCTCCACTATGATGTGGGTGGGTTTCATGAGAGCGCCATTCATGCTCGAGTGGGAGCTATAGGGTGTGGCCCCCTCTCGATCCATGGCCCAGCGGTTGGGTTCCCTCGGGGTCAGCAGGTACTTGAGTCTCTGGAGAAAGAAGAAGACAGGAGCGGGAGGAAGTCAGGCAGTCTGGTTCCCTTTCACCAGACTCCAACCCCCTCTGCGTCCTGCCAGTGCGCTGTTTGGCCCTTGACTAACTACTATCCTCTCTGGACCTCCCATCTCATCCACTGGCAAATAAAGAAGCGGACCTAAGGTGCCCCTGAGGCCCCTTCACCCTCCCAGCTGGCTGGCCACGCATGGAACCAGTGAGGGAAAGAGCCCTCCCCAAGGACCCCAAGAAAACCAACGGCAGAACTGGGACGCAAACTCAGGGCGCCTGCCTCCCAGCCCACCTCTGTCAAGTGTCCGCTCAGAAACTTAAGTAGAAAGCAGTTGCGAATAAGAAGTTCTCTATCTAGGCATTCAAGTTAGGTATATTATAATTTTTCAAAGTTGCTTATTAAAATCTACAATATTTCATTTCAAAAATCCAGATTTCCATCTTCTCTTTAAAAACTGTAAGATCTGGCAACTGCAGTTCCCATGTCCCCTCTTGGTGCATGAGCTGAGCGCATTGCTGCCCGCTGCGGATTTCCATCACCTTCTCCTGTTCACTCCTGGGCCGCCCCAGTGGCTTCCCTCATCTGGGTTGCCTGACTGGTCCCTGGAGGATTGGCTGGAGGCCACAGGTAAAGGGTGAGGGGTGGGATGCCAGCAAGAAGGGCATCCTGCTCCCCTTTCACCGCTCCCCCTCTCTGTATATCTGTACAGTGGGGTGAGCACACAGCAGGGGGACAGGAGGCGAAGGCCCCAGCCAGCCACCCGGCTCTGTTTATATGGGGAGAGGGGCTGAGATGCAACTGGACTCCTCCCAGGACAGACCTGGGTTTGTAGAACATGCCTCTGAGATATTCATGGCTGGGAAGATACCTGGGCCACCTGTGCAGGTGGGAGCCCCAGGGGGCACATAACAAAGACAGATGGCTGGTGGTTCAACGGCCTTCAGAGGAGGGAGTTAGGTTTGTAAGTAAGGAAGGGGTGCAAGTTTGGGGTGGAGTGGATTCCTCACTCACCCCTTCCTCCTTCTCCCACACTAACCCACTCTGACCAAACCTCTAAACAGGCTGGAACAATGTTTTAAAATTAGACTTTGAAGCCCTGGCCGGGTGGCTCGGTGGGTTGGAGGGTCATCCCGTGCACCAAAAGGTGGCAGGTCCGATTCCTGGTCAGGGCACATACCCCAGGTTGCAGATTCAATCCCTGGTCAGGGTGTGTGCAAGAGGCAACCAATTGATGTTTCTCTCTCTCTCCCTTCCTCTCTAAAAAAATAAATAAAATTAGACTTTGAAGAGACACAAGTTAGTGACCTGTTGGGTGTACCTGTGTCCCACTCCCCATGGTTGAACTAGGTAACTACTGTGGGTACTGACCAATCAGAATAGACATCCAAACCCCTCTGTTATGTATCCAATTAGCCCTTCAGTTTCTGGATGGTAGGGACATTCTAGAAATGCCTGGGAGGGACTGGGTTGGCATGGTGTATTTGTAGGGTGGTACCTGGAGGGCTCAGGGCAGCAGCTATTGTCTACATGTCCCTGGGTTCAGTATTTCAATCTTTTAACAAATGATAGGGCCAGTCAGCATTCTGGCTGAATACCGGGGTCTTTCCTTGTGTCCTCTGAGAAAATACAATGAGCCTAGTGCTACAGGAACACCCCAGGGCCGAGCTGGCTCAGACAGAGCTTCATGTTTTCCTCCCTGGCACACCCCTGCCTACTTCCTCTGTCTCGGGAAGGCGGGAAAGCTGGTCCCTTTCAGCCCGGCCTCTCTCCCCCCACCAACAACACCTCCAAGCCATTCCCCTGCCCACAAGGAAACCCACCCAGCCCACGGGGGAGCCACGGCCCCAGGACATCCTGGCTCCAGATTTTTAAGAGAATAACAATAAAAACAGCCCAGAACAAAACAGTGCAATCTTGGAGCCCGCCCAAGCCCAAAGGTTAAGGAAGATTCTAAGAAAAGGATTTCTTGGAAAGAGCCCTGGAATCTACAGTATTGTCAGAGGAATTTCTGAGAGGAGGTGGGAGACCAGGAGAGGGCCACAGGGGAGGAGCCTGGCATGCACAAAGGCCTGGAAGCAGGAGGTTCTGCCTAGGACAGAGGTGGCCTCTGAGGGTGGGGCAGCAGACAGGACCAAGATCTGGGGAAGGGGACACCAGCAGGAGCTGGGCTTATCTGCGATTTGGCCCCAGGGTAAGGGAAGGTCTCTGGGTGGAGCTCAGGCTTCCTCCCCGGCTCCTAGTCTCCTGTCTCCAGGCTTTAGAAATGCAGCCCACACCGCTCCCAAGATAAAGCCCTAGCTCTTAGTGTGGAGTCCACAGCTGCTGCCACCTCTCCAGCCTCTTCACCCCACCCCCAGAACGTGCCACTGCTGCACCATGTCCACACCCTCCCATTTGAATTCTATGAGTGGCAAATTCCTCCTCCTGCCACAGCCCTGCTCTGAATGTCACCACAGAGCCTTCTCCCAAGTTAACTGTACTTTGTTCTAGTTTTCCCACAATGTACCCTCCTGCCCACAATCTCAACCACTCCATGGGGCAGGGAGGGGTGTAGGACTCAGGGCAAATGACATGCCCAAGGTCACACAGCAAACTGACAGCAGGCTGGTCTTCAGCCTCCCGCCATACCCCCCAATCCAGGCTGGGGCCCTGAGTGCTCACCACGAGGAACGGCCCTTCTGTCTGGCAGAGGCGGATGACCATGACCAAGGGGACACACACCATGGAGGACAGGGCCAGGCTCCAGCCCAGCCCGATGGCCCAGGTGGGGTACACGTACACTTTGTTGTAGGTCAGGGGTATGTACTTGACGAGAGAGAAAATGAAACATCCCTGTGGAGAGATGAGGGCAGTCAGGGGGGGTCCTGTGCATTGGGGGTTGGTGGCTTCTGGGACCAAGGCAGGTCCCACCGATGGGGCCTCACACCGTTCTCCACTCTGCAGCATAAGGACCTCCCCCAATGCAAATCTGACCAAGTCACTTCTCTGCTCAAAACCCTCTGTATCTCCCCAGTGCCTTCAGGATGCAGCCCAAGGTCCTCAGCCTGGCCAGAGCCACCAGGAGCTGTATCCCTTCCCTTCTCACCTGCCCCCACCTCTTCCTCCACATCTACACTCTAGCTACCTACCAAGAATCCCTTCCAGTTCCTCAGCCACTTGCCCTAGGGCCTTAGCCCAGGCTGTTCCCTTTTCCCCTAATCTCCTCCTAATTTAGCTCTAATGGTCCTGCCTTACTTGCCCAGGCCCTGCCCAGACTCAGTTAGGCACTTATAGTTTTCCTTCCCAGAAAGCATGTGGTTACAATCGGTTCTTCAGCACACGTTCCCGCCCAACCTGAGTCAGTGAGGGTGGCAGGTATGTGTCTTGTTCCCCAGTTTCTCTAACACTTGGTGCAGTTCCAGGTGCACACAGCAGGTGCACAATAAATGCTAGCCTTTCCTCCTTTCTCCACTCATCTCTATCTCTGAGCCCCAGGCTCCACTCCCAGGACAAGGTGTAGACCTGGGCCTTGCCCGGTTGGGTGTCCACAGCCCAGCCTTGAGCCCATGAAATTGGCCAGCAGCCATCAATGTCCATGAGCAGTGGGATGGGATGAGGGGGGGTCAGCTCTGAGCCCCTAAGCTTATGCAGAGGTCGCCTTTTCCATATTCAGCTGAGCTGGGAGGGCCCAAGGCTCCTGTTCTGGACAGAATGACAGCACCTCAGAGTCTAACTCAGGTTATCCTGGATGACCCATAATGTGAAAACGACTTATCCTCATAATCTAATAACTGAGGTTTGATGGGGAAACAAATCCATCTACATTAGAGCTGATGACAGGAGCATTAGGCTGCAGATGGGGCATTAGGCAGTAGATGGCTTCCATTGGGCACCTGCTGTATGCTTGGCACTGTTCTTGTTTCTGTTCTTATGTGTGGGGCTGTTGCTTAGACAGGGAGAGTGGCCGGGGGTAGCTGCTCCGGGCTCCCCCAACATGAGGAAGCTCTGTACCTGCCTGAGACCCATACCTGCCTGTCACATTCCTCTTCCTATTAGGGTGACTTCATCCTACCACCTTGGAATACAGCCTATCTCTGATCCACAAACTCCTCAGGGAGGGAGAAAGGGAGAAACTGACGGTCAGAGTGGTGAGAGGAGTTGCCCCCCCACACACATTCAGTAAGAACGAGAGCATGGGTTTTGAACCTAACAAAATCCATCTCCAAAAATAAACTTGCCAATTGTGGTTACTGGCTGCTATAGTTTACTTATTTTTATGGGGAAAATAAGTACCTCAGATGGAAAGGCCACAACCACGTTAAACAATAACAGTAACAACCTAAGGGTGCCAGCTGCCACTCGCGTCCCATGTCAGAGTCTCTTCATTTTACAAATGGGGTGGGCAGGGCCCGAGAGGGAAGGGGCTCACCTAAAGTCACACAGTGAGTTAATGGCAATGTTGACTTATTCTGGCAGAGTAGCCGAGGTCACTGAGGGGACCATTTATTCCTCAGCCCCTGGTCCCTAAATGCAAGAAACATTCCTGCCATTTGTTCCTCCCACGGAGTGAGCCGAGATGGCAGAGCAGATGTGTCCCCTGCAATTAGCTCCAGAGCTCACGGCTGGTTTTGAACCCTGGCAGGAAAGCAGCTCTGCTACAGAGGACTTCCCCCTTGGCCTCTGAGGGGAACCTGGAAGCAGGCAGGGTGCCTGGGTGCCTGGGTGTACTCACTCCGAGGCCACATTCCAAGATGGTGGGAAGAGGAAAGTGTCACCTCACTGTCTTTGGTTCCTGGGCCGGTACACAGTTCCCTTGTTCTTGGGAGAGGCCAGAGCATCTCTTTGCTGGGAAGTCTCCTCTCTAGTCACAATCCCCACCCTGCCATGGAAACCATATTCCCCATGCCTGTGACCTCTCCTTTGGACATCCCAATGGCTCCTAAACTGAATCAGCGACTGGAAGTGGGCTCATGGGCTCTGGAAGGGTTTGGGGAAAGGTTACATGCTCTATCTTGGATCCCTGAATTTCTCAACATGCCCCAATCCGTTTTCCTCTTTGAGAATGCTTTGCCTTTTTGCAGGCTAGTTCCTTTGCCAGGAACACCCTTCCTGTTTTCTCTTCCTGACAAGCTCCTACTCATCCTTCAAAACTCATCTCAAGATAACCTTCTGGAGCAGTCTGCCCCACCTCCTTCCAGGCAGAGCTGTCACCAGGCTTGTTACAGGACAGTGCTCGGGAGATGCTGAGTGCAAATAGTTCAGCAGAGGAGAAAAGGCTACTACCCACAGCCAGGAAAGAGGAAACTTACAACACAGAGAACTGGAGTGACTATGGCCCAGCTGTACTTCATCCATGGCCCAGGCCGATAGCCGATCATGTCCTCAATACCGTCATACAAGTTATCACTGCCTGCAAGAGACAGAGGTAGACAGAAGGTGACATGGTGTCCAATGCCAGCAGCCACCCTGGGAACGGCAGAGCAAGGGCTCAAGGGCCATGAGGGGTCTCTGGGGCCTGATCCAGGTCCTTGCCTCTTACACCACATAGACTCAAGTGTGGCAGACGTTTATCTGAAATTATCTAAAATTCAAAAGTAACTGGACATCCTGTATTTTTTTGGCCACCTTAGGCATACCCCACTCAAAACCCTTTGACCAATCCAAGGTCTCAAGGAGGTCCAAATGGACCATTCCTGAACCCCAGAGTAGTTATCAGAGATAAACCCCTACACAGTCAAGTTACGTGTTGTCAAAAAATGCAGTCACACCTTGTACCTTTAGCACAGGAGAATCTGTAGTGTGGCTACAAGATTATTTGCTTAGGGAAGAGACAGTCTTCAGCCTTCCCCAGGTAGAGAAGGCCTTTGTGTTCAACTCAGAATGAATTCCCCTTAGAATTCTGTTTCTGAAGCTACTAAATAGAGAGGCCCAAAGAGAGACTTGAGAAAGGATATGCAAAAACGGGTACTCACCATATATCCAGGCAACAACAAAACATTCAAAGAATGCAACCCACAAGAGGCATACACCGCTAGCTGCATAGTAGTCAAAGAGTTGAAACACATACATGCCACCCTGTGAAGAAAAAAAGAGAATTTTTATTTGTTATTTGGTATCTAATTCCCTTAATAGGTAAGTAGTTCTGGCATATCAATAAGAAGACATAAACGAAACTATATAACCCAAAAGAAAAATTGGCAAAGGCTATAGTAACCAGATACCTGTGTAAAAAGATTCTCCACTTCATGTTTGACAAATTTAATTACACACACACAGAGGAAAGCAAAGCAACATGTCTTCCTTAGCAAAAAATGACGAGTTCCCTGAAGCCTGCTTCCAAAGGAGGTGCTTAAAAACAGCCGTGGCCAACACAGAAGGCTTCGGCAACATCCAGCTGCTCAGTGTGTGGACCTGTGATCTACCTTTTGTGTGCGTGGGG